CTTTTTTTTTTTAAAAAAAAAAATTACTTGATAAATATACTAATCCAGGGTACGAACTTGAAGCTTGAAATGGCTCTGGAATGCAATAAGTTTGAACGCCTTGGTGTCTTAATGGATTTCATCACTAAAAAGAAGAGGACTTGGGTGCATATGAACTTGGATGCTAGAATGGGCCCCAAAGAGGAATTACTCGTTTTCTTTGTCGAGTTCTATTTATCGGATGATGAGTATGTGCTTGCAAAGTTGGCACTGGTGAATACTTCAGACTATCAGCCTGTTAGTAAAAAGGATGGTAAATGAACACCACTGGTTACAATTATTATTGCATTATTATTTTTGTTAACAAGTTAATATTATTCTTAAAAAAAAATCATTTGTGATTCTGTGCAGGGCTTTGGTGTCGTTTTTGCCCGGATGGTATTCTTCATCCAATGGAAGGGTGTTTTTTTAATTTCTACTCACCTCATGCTTCAGTTGAAAATTTGCTAGAAAAAGGGCATGAAAGCTAAATTATGCTTTTGACTAAATGAACTTAGACTGCTTTTGACTAAATGAACTTAGAACTCTGAAGTCAGAACTCTGAAGTCTCAATGTAATGTTTCGCAAGCCATTTCTTGTTATGTATTATGCGGGTTGCTAGAATATAAATGTTATGTATTATGTCGGTCGCTAGAAATTTATATATGTATGATATTCTTGGTTGCTTGATTATCCCTCGACCCGTTTCTCTTAATTCTAATTAATGTAATCTAAGATAAATGGAACAAAATAGGATAGTCGGAGAAAGACCTCCTTTTGTTAGTTTCGGCATAGGTTATTGTCCCTCATAAATGTTCGAGGGAGGTCAGGGTTGGAGAGGGTTGAAAATGAGCTGTGTAAATTATGCTTCGACTTGATATGAAATGATGTAATAGATATGATAAGAGTATTCATACCATATTTACATGTAGAAAAACCTCTAGAATTTTGAGTCGCATGCCACTTCATCACAAGTAGAATTAAAAAACACATTACTGGATAAGTTTTTTATTTTAATTTCTCTAGAATTCTCCAATTAAAGGTCAAAGAATATCCGTTCATTGAAATAAAGACGTGTGCTATCATTAACCAAATATCTGGTTATTGATATAGAGTGGTTACCAAAAAATAGAACGCGATAAGGACGCTTTATGGAAATATCAATTGGATAAGGTTATAACAGATCACTAGTACATTTTAACGATAAAAAGTCAGATAGAATGATTTATGATAATTATGTCGTAATTAATGAATTAATTAGATGTGTGAAAATGACATAATTAATGAGAAGTGTGAAAAGGACATAATTAATGAGAAGTGTGAAAAGGACAAAAACTTGCCGGTTTTGAAAAATATTTAATGCAAATCCGACATTGATCATAATTTAACCTACTATTTTGGATAAATGTTAATTCTTATTATATAAGTATAGAATTACCATTTAAGAGATAGTGATTAGATACGTTAAATTGTTTTACTGATGGTTAAAAACTAACATTGAACTAGATCAACTGTTTTTTAGAATTTATTTGTATATAGTTGACAACTATGATTATTTTTTTTAACACTTTGTTATTTTGATTTCTTTCTATAATGAAATTATTGTAAAATATATTTTTATTGCACAGTATGCTAAATAAACTATAAATTTTTATATTGAAATTAAAAAAATTTTAATTATAGAAATGATTGGGATTTTGACATTTGCTAAATTGAAGGTGTTGAATTAGTATACAAAATTATATTATAAAAATACATATGCGTATATTTTATAAAAGTCCCTAGGAGCTGACCAAACGTGCACCTCCATGGTGCTGAAAAGGATGCCCTTAGTTGCACTTTCAAAATAATCGTTACATGTCCCTTGTCTATTATGAGTCGCCCGTCACGCCCATCACTTTCAAAATAATCGTTACAAGTTTCACTAATTTTTGCCTTTTAATTTATGCTAAAAACATCGAAGTAGATTTATAATTTAGCTTGAAGAGTAAGTTAATCAATTTTCAATAAGAAATAAATAAAAAATAAAAATAATAGTGCAGTTTTAAAAGCAGGAATATTGATGCAATTAACCATAAGAGCATTTCCAACGGTGCTTCAATTGCAGAAATCTAAGTATTAGGAAAGACTTCTCCAACGGTGAATTATTTGTTTCTATTTTGTATGATGTGGCATGAGAGAGGTTTAAAAATTTTGGAACTCTTTCCACATCTCAAGGCTCTGTTAGACATNTTAAAAATTATAATTAAGTTGGAAAGAAGGTAACTGTACGAGAAATTTTCTGTATACACTATCAAAAAAGCAAATTAATTTACGTAAAAAAAAATAAATGAAAAAAATTGATGCATTTCTAAAATTATATTATAAATTTAATGGTATACAAAATAAAAATACCGATGAATGTAAATACCTGATGAATATCAATGATGGAGATGTTCTTAAAACAAAATACGGTAAAATACCTGATGAATATATCTAGATGTTCTTACAAAAAGAAAAAATACAGATGAATGTGTAGATGCATTTCTAAAATTATATTATAAATTTAATGGTATACAAAAAAAAATACCGATGAATGTAAAATACCTGATGAATATGGAGATGTTCTTAAAACAAAATACGGTAAAATACCTGATGAATATATGTAGATGTTCTTACAAAAAGAAAAAATATAGATAAATGTGTAGATGGGTGATAGCAAATTCAAAATGAAGGTTCAACCTTTGAATTAAATTCACCAAAGATATGTATCCATTTTTTTAGGATGACAAAAGAAAAACGTCGGTGTATAAAAACACGTGTAAAAACTGTCCACGCAGAGTCTTCTATTTCATTGACTCGTGAACTACAATTCACATCCATCATGAAAGATGCTCATTGTACCGCCAAAAAACCCTA